GGTGACCGAGCGCCGTTTCCCCGCAGCGTCATCCGGCTGATCATGCAGTACCTGAAGGAGAACAGCCTCCACCGAGCCCTCGCCACCCTGCAGGAGGAAACTACCGTGTCCCTCAACACCGTGGATAGTATCGAGAGCTTTGTGGCTGACATCAACAGTGGGCACTGGGACACGGTGCTGCAAGCCATACAGTCCCTGAAGCTGCCCGACAAGACCCTCATTGACCTCTATGAGCAGGTGGGTGAGCACCAGCTGTGTGACACCTTTTCTGGCCTGGGTGGAAGCCCCTCTCTGGTGCTTTGCCCTTGCTCTCTGTGTTTGTCTCTGAGGTGTTTGTCTCTTGGTGCAGGTTGTGCTGGAGTTGATTGAGCTCCGGGAACTGGGTGCTGCCAGATCTCTCCTGAGGCAAACGGATCCCATGATCATGCTAAAACAGACTCAGCCAGAGCGGTACATCCATCTCGAAAACCTTCTGGCCAGATCCTACTTTGATCCTCGTGAGGTATGTTACCCTCTTCCCAGGCACCCCACGGTGCTGTCTTGTGTCACCCTTGGTATCAGTCCAAGCTGCCAGCTGTCTGTTCTTTCCCGCTCTGGGAAGGGGAACGTGCAGCTTCACAGTTTGATGGTTTTACATGTTCTGTGGAGTGCTTTGGAAATTACGTGTGATATTTGACCACGAGGCAGCAGAGCAGTGGTTTTAAAGTGTACTGTGGGTGGGCATTGTGGGGACCTGTGCCTTGGTTTTCTTGGTTTATGCATGGAGGAGAAAATGTACGTTTTGTTAGTGAAGATGTTGTGTAATAACAAGTCACTATTTCTGAGTGAGTGTGGCAGTGCCACCCCTTCACTGAACGCACATCCACGATGGTTCAAGGGTTGGTGTTAAAGAGAAGGGTTGTTTTGAAGGTCTAGAGAAAAACTGACCTGGAAGGGGCTCCAGTTCAGTGCAGTGTGTGGTTTTCTGGGAAGCAGCTGAGAAGAATGCCTCTGTTGACTTCTCCCTAGGCGTACCCGGACGGGAGCAGCAAGGAGAAGCGCAGAGCTGCTATTGCACAGGCTCTGGCTGGGGAGGTCAGCGTGGTGCCTCCCTCTCGTCTGATGGCACTGCTGGGGCAGGTAATTTCTGAGAAACACTTCAGTAGCATGGCAGTTTCTGTAATATCTGCCACATAAAACTAACTCCGATGTAGTTGATTCTACAGCTGTGCAAGAGTGAAGCTTAAACATTGAAGATTTACAAATGTTATTAAAAATGGTATTTTCTCTGTGTAGCAAAGATTTAGGAAAAGTCAGCATTCCAGCGGTAGATTTTTTTTTCTGTATGTCCTGGTTTCAGCTGGGACAGAGCTCATTTTCTTTTCTTAGTAGCTCTCCTCTTTGAGGCTGGAATAGTGCTGTGTTTTGGGTTCAGTATGAGATGACTACTGACAACGTACTGATGGTTTTAGTTGTTGCAAAGGACTTCCCAGCTTCCCAAGTGAGTTTGGCTAGTGTGCAGGTACACGAGAAGCTGGAGTGGATGGGGGGAGGAGCACGGCCAGGACAGCTGAGCCAAGCTAGCCAAAGGGGTGTTCCATGCCACAGAACTTCATGCTCAGTATATGAACTGCAGGAACTGGCCAGGAGGGCACATCACAGCTGGGGTGACCTGAGCAATTGCATTGTGCAACACTTGTCCTCTTCCTAGGCTCTGTTTCTCTCTCTTTCAATGATATTCCATTTAATTATATTTTTTAATTGTTCTTGTTTATTTTGTTATATTTTACTTAGTTACTAAACTACTCTTGTCTCAGCCCACGAGTTTCCCTGTTCCACTGGTAGCTGGGGGGAGTGAGCCAGTGGCTGTGTGGCACTTCCTTGCCTGCTGGGGTTGAACCATGGCACCTCAGAATAAATGCTCAGCACACAGCAAAAATTATTTTTGAAGTACATGGTAACACAGTTTCCCTTGTTGTACTTAAATATGTTTTTTTGTTTTGTTTTTTTTTATCCTCAGAAGGTATTCACTAATGGCCTACACAGACAGTTTCTAATGTATTTTGTTGTTTTATAGCTTGCATCTTACTTGTTAAACCTGTGAGTACGCCAGGTAAAGCTTTTGGCATAACAGGTATGTCCTGTGGCTGAAGGCAGCTCACTGCTGAAGGGGTTGTAGAAGATTCAGTCTTTTGACTGAAGTTCCCTTGTGCCTTCCAGGAAGACTTACATGTTGTTTTTAGTTTTAATGTGTGCATTTCTAGGCAGATAGACAACAGATCAGGTAATTGAAACAAACACCAGGTTGCTTTCACTCTCTGTGCACACTGTATACTATGTCCTGAAGGTAGAATGGGCCTGAGTCATTCTCAGTTGCAAGAAACATTTGGGGATGGTGTTCTGTTTGTGTTCATGAACTAGGAGCATAATATAAGTGTTTCAGGTACTTTTTTTTGCAGTGTATTTGTTTCAAACTGTACAGATGCACAATTTGCAAGGGTGCAAGAGGCTATTGCTCTATTGTGTTAATTAGAAGCAAACTTTAGTGAGGAAGATATTTGTTGGCTTACCTCTAATGGCCTGGCTTTCCCCTCCTCAAAAGGCACTGAAGTGGCAGCAGCATCAAGGGCTGCTTCCTCCTGGCATGACAATTGACTTGTTCAGAGGCAAAGCAGCTGTGAAAGATGTAGAAGAAGAGAAGTTCCCTACGCAGCTGAGCAGACATATTAAGGTGATGGTTTTGCCTTTGTGCATTACTGCTGCTTGTTCTTTCCCATGCTTTATATTAGGGGATAAGGGCAAACCTTCTGAATTCTTCTGTTCCCTTTTTTGTAAGTAATTTCCCTCCTGGCCCCTCTTCTCTCACCCCCAGTTTACTTCCCTCCTTCCCCTCCCCCTTCTTCTCCATCCTGTAGCTCACCATGTTACTTTTAGTGAGAGTATGAAATGAGGTCCCTTAACAAGACTGAGTGCTTGTGGTATTTGTGAATATGATAAATATATTGACTGTTTCTTTGTCTTCACAGTTCAGAATCGTTCAGTTTTCAGATGTGGTTTGCTTAGTCCCTTTTTTTTATTTGTGCAAGGGAACACCCCTGTCTTAAACCTCTATGCATGCTTATTAGCTCCCTAAGCTATTGCAAGACTTAAGATTGATCATTAGTTCTTACCTACCAGGTCAGTTAGTGTGGTCAGTATCTCCTTTTTAAGGATATTATCATACAGGTTTCAATAGAGAGAAAAAAATGTCCTGTAGTGACACAGTTGTCCTGCAGCACACACTATGTGAACAGGCAGTTTCCTCCTGTGCAGGATTTTCAACTTCAAGCAGTGCTGTACAGTGAGAAGCGTTGGTTTGCTGCAGTATCTGTCACAAAGAGCATAAGATAACATGTTTTCAAAAGCCAGGAATTAGACCTTGTGAAATCAAATTCTTCTGTGCAGTAGCGGCTTGGTAAAAATGCTTTATTAAAACTTGCTTTGTTCACCGATACTGATCTTGGATTTTTGTACTGATTAATGAAAATGGGTTTTTATGCTCTATTGTCATGGTTGTTTGCATTTAAAAGTTTAAAATTTAAAACTTGTATATAAACCCCACTAAACATTCTCTGAATATTTCATTAGATGAACATCATTCCAAGTGAAGCAACTTGTACTACATAAGACCTGTCTGAAATCTGCTAGTGATACATTCTGGGTGCTGGGAAGGTGTTTGTTAGCATACACAATTCAATGCAAAAACAAAAATTAGGAGACAGCCAGCCTGGCAGCTGCTGTAAGCAGGGAGTGTTTGATGCCAGTTTCACAGATATTAGCAGATCAAAAGGAGGGGAGGTTTAGGTTGGTTTTGAAGTGCTAGTGTGTAGGTATCATCACCTTTCTTTTGTACTTCAGTGTTAAATGTGTGCATGCACAACTCTAGAAAATACTGTAATTTTGCCAACAAAATGAGACTGAACTTTTGATTTAATGAGTTGCTTCTTTAAAATTGCTTACTAAGCTTCACTTCTGTTCTCTTATAAAACAGTTTGGGCAGAAGTCACATGTGGAGTGTGCTCGGTTTTCCCCAGACGGTCAGTACCTGGTTACTGGCTCTGTCGATGGATTCATTGAGGTGTGGAACTTCACTACTGGAAAGATCAGGAAGGTAAATTGTGCCTTATTTCACACAGACAGTTCATTGCCCAGAGCACCTGGTTTTATTCTTTGAGATTATTTGGGGTTTTTTTTGTCAGTAACTGTGAATTTGAAAAGAATGTCTGCTTGAGTGGATCAGGTATGGGTTTGGAATCTTTACTTGGGTTGAATTGTGATAAATTTTCCACCTTTCTGGATCATTGTTGCCTCTACAATGGTGACGACAGCTCATCCCCCTTATTATAGGGCTGTGGGGTCTGCTGGATGATAGGTTGTAAACTATAACTAGTTAAAGCTGCTTGTACTTTTGCACTGTGGTTTAAAATGTATTTAATCAAATCCAGTGTTTTGACTGGTGAATCTTCTGCCTTTTGTTTAGGATCTGAAGTACCAGGCACAAGATAATTTTATGATGATGGATGATGCAGTGCTGTGTATGTGTTTCAGCAGAGATACAGAAATGCTGGCAACTGGAGCACAAGATGGAAAAATCAAGGTACAAATCTTTTTGTATGGTATGTTGGTAGATCTGATGACTAGAAGGATTCGCCTGCAATTGCAGTCATCTTGCAGCCCACATTAAAAGAAAAAAAAAAAAGGATTTTTCGTGGCTCAGAAACAGATATGTGTTGGCTCTGATGTTTAAGCTGCTGTGTTCTCATAACAAAATAACCACCTCTTGTTCCCTCTCCAGGTGTGGAAAATCCAGAGCGGTCAGTGTCTGAGAAGATTTGAACGAGCACACAGTAAAGGTGTTACGTGCCTTAGTTTTTCTAAGGACAGCAGCCAAATTCTTAGTGCTTCTTTTGATCAGACAATCAGGTAAATAAACTGGGAATGTGTGGGCTACAGTGCAGGAGAAAACAGAATTTTCATATTATGCAGTTAAACTTCTGAGTATAGATTCATTTGACATGGGATTTGATCCTTTTGCATTGAATTTTAATGCTGATAGAAGAGCACGACTGCTGAGGGTTGGAGAGGATCAGTTTGAAAGTTTGACTTAACTTTCCATTCATGTTCCTTAACTTTCTGGGCATCTATTCTTCCCAGCAGTTTGATAGGGAATACTAGAGATCCAACCCTGGAAGACAGCCAGGCTGGTGGACCCTGAGAGGTTCAAGAACAGGAGTTGCAGTTTTTATCTGGAAATGGTGGTACAGCCTTCTCTGTGCTTTAGGGTGCTGGTTTTTGGTCCCAGTATCGCTTCAGACATACGTGTGGTGTATAAGGGAAAAGGCTGAGAGAGTGGGGCCTGGTTGGCCTGCCAGAAGAAGGCTGAGAAGGGACCTGGTTGCCTCATCTGGAGGTAGTCCTAGATAAGACAGTGCCACACTTTCTCAGGTGCACAGTTGCTACAAGGTGAAATTCTGATTGAGTATAAGGAAAACATTTTTTCCCCCCCCCTTGAAAAAGCAGCAGCACTTGTACAATGCAGAGAGAGCTGGGTCAGGCTGGGGGTGGGTCTCAGCCCTCGGAGACTTTCAAAGCTAAATTGATGAAGACCACTGAGTGACTTGGAAGTCACGTCGCTTTGGGAGCAGTGGAATAGAGGTCTCCTGAGGTCTCCTCCAGCCTAAGCCATTCTGTGATTCTCTGACAGGTACCACTGTGATGGAATCTGTTAAGAGAAAACTCTCGTAGACAAATAGCTTATAAATTCATGCTCACAAGAGAAAAGCAACTTCTTTCAGTATTGAAGATGAACCATAGAGGCAGGATCATTTTTCTCTTCACACCCAGAAGATAATTCCCATTTATCCAGACTGTCTCTGAAGTTCTTTTTATGGGCATGGGAATTCTTTCCATTTCTCATGCAAACCATCCCTTGCTGAGTAGCACCAGCATTATGTTGGATATGAGCTGAGGGTTTTTTCAACCAATCTGTATAGTTCAATTTCCCAATCACTGTGGCAGTCCTTTGGGGCAGTGAAACTGTTTGTGATGTTGGAGACCCACAAGCTGAGCTCTTGGGAACCAGGAACGGGAGTTGAGCTGGAACAAACTTTGGAGTTGCTTTGGTGCACAGTCCTCTTAGGGTAGCTTAGCAAGCTGGTAAGTGTCAGCATAGTTACAGCAGCTGGATGCGATATCTGTCTGTAGAGAATCTGAGGAATTACTTCCCTCTTAATGTGTCTGGGCTTAGCTGAACGAGCTTGGTATTACCTGACACTTCCCACTGGGAAAGACTCACTTGTCTGTAGTTCCTGCAGCTTACCTGGTGCGCAGATAACCTGCTAAGCAACACGATAAAGCAGTGGGCTGCTGTGGGACTGGTGGTTGGGCTTGCATCTGTGCTCTAAGGTCTTTGCAACCTGTGTAAGGCACACTAAGCATGAATTATTAAATAGTTTCATGTAGAAGGTACCTCTGGAGGTCACTAGCCGAATATGCTTCTGAAAGCACAGGCGACCTTTCAGTTAGGACAGCTTGCTCAGGGCCTTGTCCAGCTGAGTTCTGTCTCCATGGGTGGAGGAGACCTTGTTGCTTCTCTTGGAATCACTCCTAGGGCTGTACAAGTTTCTTGGATAAAATCTTGTTTGGACATAAGGACGGTTTGGTTTGGTTTGGGTTTTCTTTCCTTTGTAACTTTTGCCCTTTGCCTCTTGTCCTTTAGCCGTACACTTCTGAGAACAATCTAACTCCCATTTATTCTGTGAAAACTTGTTGGGTGGTGATGTTAACCAAATAGTTAAAACTTTTTAGGTTCTTAGTAAGGACTTAGTTACAATTCACTTTCATTATTGCTTTTATCTACCCTGCAACAACACTTTAAAAAGAAAGAAAAAGGGTATCTATTTGCAAATAGTCACAAAAATACTCAAACTCTGTTGTAATCGAAGTTATGAGATGGGCAGCAGCCTGATAAAACTCTTTTTCCTGCAGCTCTCGGCATTGGAAGGTGTTGCTTAACATCTGTGTAGTGCAGTAATTCTGATCTGCACCTATTTGGTGTCTTACTGAGGGGAATTAGCTCACTGCTGTATACATTTGTCTTGCAGCAAAGCTTTTCTGTTGCTACACAGACACTTTGTTGCCACTGAAAGCAGCTGAGGTCAGTTTTGTGGAAGTTCACAGATACTTTTCTTATTTGGGGTTTTTCTGGCTCAGTTATAATTTAACTTTTCTGTCTGCAAGGAAAACAGCGTTAGATGCTTCCGAACTTTCAGTTCTCTGGGCTTAACACACCCAGACCTTTCAGCTGCTCTTCAGGCATCATGTAGTCCAGACCTTTGGCCATCTTAGTGGGGGCCCAAAACTGGACACAGTCCTACAGGGGTGGCTGCACCTCTGCCAAGTAGGAGGAAACCTCGATTTGCAGACGGTGTCTTTCCTCATGTGTCTGGTTTGTGGCTGTATTTCCTCAGAGCCACAACACACTGTTCCCTCTTGCTTTGCTGTCCCCAAGGCCTGCCAGGTCCTCTGCTGCTCTGCAGCTGGCCAGCCCCCAGTGGATTCTGATGCCCGAGGTTGTTCTGCAGCCATAGTTTCTCAACATTGTGAGGTTTCTCTCTGTCCATCTGTCTGTTTTGTCAAGGTTTCTGACTTCCTCATCTGCCTCTTACAAAAGTGAATTGCAGGATATGAGACTTATGTTGTGAATCGGACTGACCCAGCACTTGGTGACTATGTGTTTCATGTGTAATTAAATGGGATTATGTAATATGCTTTAATAACTTCAGGCTCTTGCCTGCCTTGTAAAACCCAATGGCTCTCAATTGGGTGAAAATGAAGAAATTTGTGGGTCTGGAGGCACCTGCACAGTGAACAGGCATTACTTAGCAACATGAGAGATATTAATCTGTTTAAGTCCTGATATGTAGATATAAAAACTATACTATAGGCATTTTAACTGAAATTACATCAGGCTGGATGTTGAATCAAAGACAGCAAGTTTCAAATGGAATGAGGAATTTCATTCTCAAAGCTTCAGACTTACGCTTCAAGGTGATATTTCTGTAGTCAGGAGGTACTACAGTTTAAGGCCAATGTGGATTAGCTGTATAATTTCTTTTTAGATGACTGAGCAAACTCTTTGCAGAGCAGCGTAGCAAGAGGCAATGGCAATAGCTTCAAAAAGAGAAAAGTGTTGGTGCTGGGTGTAAGGAAAGAGCTTTTCTTAACACAACTACACCAGGCCTTGGCCAAGTCCTGAGCAAGATGACCTCACTTAAAGTTGAGCAGTGTGTTAGACTAGATACTTCCAAACTTAATTCTATAGTTTTTGTTTTGTCAGCTTCATAGCTTCCCCTTCCATAGTCCTGTCTCTGATAGGTACAGTGTCTGTTCCATACAGGTCCGTGAGGCTGAAGGGTGGGGGCCTTTCCCTGGCCTGGGCACAGGAGCACAAAGGGCCTTTGAAAGGGGCTTCTGAGAAAGACTTACAGCTTGTGATTGTTTAGCAGCTCTTACTGTTACCTGTCAGTGGTATCTCAGATTTAGAACACAGCAAGGCCAGAAGGTGGCTCAGGCGACCCCAGCTGTTCCTCATGACCTCTGTTGTGCGGCAGGATTCACGGACTGAAATCCGGGAAGACGTTGAAGGAGTTCCGTGGTCATTCTTCCTTTGTCAATGAAGCCACTTTCACCCAGGACGGCCACTATATTATCAGTGCATCCTCTGATGGCACGGTGAAGGTAAGAGAAATGATTTGTAAATAACATTTTCAAACTCTTTGCATGTTTTAGCTGATTTATTGTAAGTGCTGCGGTCTGGAGAAGGACTTGGTTATCTGCAATAGGTTGGCTTTCTACTTGTGATCTTTGCTGTGGATTAGTGTAAAAGAGAACTGATAAAGTTTCGTACTGTACTTACAGACTGCTGCAGAGCCTGTTTATATGGTATTTATGAAAGGAGAACATAAGTGCAGTTCTTAACTGTATGTTCCTGACTTAATCTAGAAGCAGCAGTGACACCTCTTGTCAGTGACTGTAACACCTCTTGTCCTAGAATGTGGGGATTGTTTGAAATAAGGGCATTTTCTTGCTTACTTTGTTGGACAACTCTCTGTTGTGTGGTGCTTAGGAGTCCCATGCTGTGTAAGCTAGTTAATCTAGCACTAACAGAACTGATGGTAGAAGCCATAAGATTGGCTTCTAGTCTCAGCAAAGAGTCCCAGCATGTGGTAGTTTAGAGGAGTAAAGCGTTGTGTACAAGGTGTTACTGACTGATAATAAGTAAAGAAATGGATATAGAAACAGATATGTTAAGTAGGGCATTGATGCTGTGTGTGGGGAGTGAACAGACCCAGTTTATAGATGTGACCTAAGAGAGTCTGATAGATTTTCCTCATATTAAATGGGGAATAATTTCAAACTCTCCCTCTTTACTAGGCTGCCCCAGTCATGGGTATAGTATAAGAAGGTGGTTCTCTTTCATTTTGATCATACCAGTATCTAAAAAGATATTCCAAAATATTCCAGAAATGATGAGCTACATTTTATTATAAACATTAAACAAGCGGTTCCGTTTCCTGGTTCTAAACAGCTAGAGCAGCACGGCGTTGAGCCTAGAGCAGCTCTAAGCTGCGACGTCTCTCTCACCAGTACCAGTGAGGCTTTGCTTTTTCAGCAGTTTTTGTGTCTGTCTTGTATAAAGAAGTCTGCACATGTATTTACAGACACCAGCTAAAACCAGAAAGCAACTGGACTCACTCCTTAGGGAGTATGCTGAACAAAGAGGAGACAGGCTGAATTGGAATAATGGAATTTGAGTTTCTGTCCAGTTGAAGTGAAAATGTTCATGGTGTCCACACTTCAAAATAGATCAGATTTTTTTTTTTCCTTTTTTTTTTTTTTTTTAATCTACTTTAAGCTACAATTTTTGGAATTCTTATTTGCCTTCAGGAGCCTTAAAAAATCATAATACTGTATCATGAATCAACTGATTTTTGTTATTTTTTTAAAACTAATGCATTTTACATTTCTTTCATACAAGGTTTGGAATGTGAAGACAACGGAGTGCTCAAACACCTTCAAGTCCCTCGGCAGCACTGCTGGAACAGACATCACTGTGAACAGTGTCATTCTGCTGCCTAAAAACCCAGAACACTTTGTTGTTTGCAACAGGTCAAATACAGTCGTCATCATGAATATGCAAGGACAAGTATGTGTTCTTACTGGTGCCCTTTAAAGTCTCTCTCTCTCTCTGTAATTTTAAGAATGCAAAAAACCTAGTTAATAACCTTACCTTGTGTTAAACCTGATTTCTCCAGTTGGCTTCCATGGCAGGCTTCTGCAGCCCGTTTATAGAACAGCTTGCCTTGCAGACAGCAGTTCCAGCTGTGGAGACATCCTGTGTTCTAAACAGACTGCCTACATATTATTTAGTACTGCCTGAAGATTTTTGCCATGAGTGTAGTAATGATGTGCTGCAGTTCAACCCTAACAAATGGTTTTTTGGGGCTGTCCTTCCAGATTGTAAGAAGTTTCAGCTCTGGTAAGAGAGAAGGAGGTGACTTTGTCTGCTGTGCGCTTTCACCTCGCGGTGAATGGATCTACTGTGTCGGTGAAGATTTTGTGCTCTACTGCTTTAGCACAGTGACCGGCAAGCTGGAGAGAACCCTGACTGTAAGTTCTTAGCTTTGAGCTTTTGCAGGGTTGTAAACATGAGGATCATCTAAGTGCTTGTTATTAAAGAAGTCCATAAGGAGAAGTCTCATACCAAGGAATCTCTCCCCTGCGGCAGCCGTGATCGCTAACAAGTGTTCCAAAACACTTGCTTGTAGAATGTCTTTGGCTTTTTTAATAACAACTTTAATTTTAAAAGCTATGAAAATGTTTACCCACCAAGCCAAGAGTAAATTTGCTCAAACTTAATACAGCATGTCTTTGTCTCAGCTCCAGCTGATGGAGAACCTGACTGAGCTGTCAGATTTAAAGCTTCCAGGCTTAAATTTGCCTTGCATTAAAATTAAGAGGAATACCAGGTTGAATGTCTAAATTTAATGTGGAACACTTAGATATCATGGATTTCAGTGGATGTAAACCTTCACTGAACCTTCCCTTGCCCAACAAAAACTGACTGCTGTGACATAAGAACTGTTTGCGACTGGAACGTAAGAGTGGTGGGCTGTGTTCCTCTGCTTTTGCTGCATGCACAAAGCATGTGAAACCTCAGTCCAGCTTTCCTGTAGCTCTTGTTTGAAGAGAGTATTTGGCTTGCATCTGCTAAAGCAAGAAGGTCGTGATGAATGTCTCTGCTTATTCTTTAGGTTCATGAAAAAGATGTCATCGGCATTGCTCATCACCCCCACCAGAACCTGATTGCCACTTACAGTGAAGATGGCCTCCTCAAGCTCTGGAAGCCATAGCTTGATTTTGCAGGGAGCTGTGAAGTGTGCCTGTTAGTTGCAGGTGGTTGGTGTTCGTGCTTTAACACAGTCTAAATGCACCGGGTGTGGTGTTTCCTGAATTTTCACATTGGTTTTCCAGAGAATGATGTTTTTACTTCGTCTGAAGTTAGGTAGATTGATGCTTAAATATAGCATGAGTTAGTTTCAAATACTTTTATTTTTACCAGATTAGCAGAAGCAATTTCAAGTGAGGGCTTTTTTTCTGTCTCCTGAAGTCTGTACTCTTTCTACAGAACACACTTGCAAGTGATTCACAGCTTCAGAAGGAAGCTGGTTTTCCCCATTTCACAGCACTTACTGCTATAAAGCTGCAGAAGTTGGCAGTGTGATATAGTTGGTTCTTTGGTTTTTGATTTTTTTTGAGTTTTAGGTTGTGGAGGGGGCAGGTAATGTTTTGTTTTGTTCTTTTACTTTATTTCCAGGCTAAAAGTAAGTGTTACCTGGGCCCTCTTTCTATAAGTGCATAATATCTTCAGACCAGCTTTACCTGAAGCATACAGCAGGGGATCAATTTTTAAAAACATGTACAGTCTGGTTTACTTCTGTGAGATGATATTTTTACAGTTTCATATAGCTGTGGACCTAATTAAGGACATACTTAAGTCCCACACTATGATGAAAAGAAGCTTTCACACTAAAAAAAATCACCTGAGATGGTGATTCTGTTTGAGATCCTGTGAATGTACACCAGAATCTTCTGAAATCTGACCACAGTCTTTCTAGGTTGCAGGAAAAACATGAAGGTTTTGTTTATAGTGGTGACACAAACCTGTGCAGACAGGAATTCGCTGTGGTTTCCTGTCCTCACCTCTTGTAGAGTTGTACTGTACCTTGATACAGTAATTTTTCAAACTCTAAAGTAAAAACTTCTCTTTCACTTAATTTCTTTCTAGTTTGAGTAATCTCACTTTTTTTTCATCTAGAGTCTTGATTCTAATGCAGGTGTTGGTTGTCAGCTAGTGGCTGACCTCCTTCAAAACTTTATTGGTCTACATTTGTATCAGCCTAAGGAAAAGCAGAAAATTTCCAGCTTAAGTTCCCACATAGTGCTGCTTATTCACTACAATTGTAGTGTTTCCTTTGCATGTCTAGCTCTCATGTTTTAATTCCTAAGTTGTTTTTCATTTTCTCAGATACGGCAATAAAGTAACTGTTTAGATGGTAAAAAGTGTTTATTTTCCCTGTCTGAACAGACACTGGTGTGTTCAGAAACATCTGACAATAATGTCTGACAAGCTCCATTGGCAATTAGTACTTTTGATGCAGGAGAAAATCTTGACAAAATATTAATAGTATCTAGCTTGCGTTTTCTTACTTAGTTTCCTACATTGCTAATCCTTAATGTAAATGGTAATTTAATATTGTCAAAGGAAAGTAGTTGTAGCCAATAAAACTACCAAAATCCTGAGTGTTTATACACTGTGGTGTTCCTGTGTTGAATTGCGTTCTTTAGATGAAAAATTTGATAAAATCTGGCATTTCTTATCCCTGTTATGTAAGAGTTTCATAGTTTGTTGCATCAAGTCCTAGAGACGAAGAAGCGAACCGTACCGATCCTCCTGAAAGGGCAGTGTGGAGCTTACCTCCTGGGCCACCCTGGACATCTGTGAAATAGCAGTTGGCACAGAAGTACAGTGACAACCTTGAAAATGTTAATCTTTTTGGACATCAAATGTAACGCTTTTTTTTTTTTTAAATGTAAATTAATTTTTAAATGTAATCTAGGAAGACATTTCTCTAGGGAATTGTCCAACATTATGTTACTTAACTGTATGTAGGACTTGGACAGGGCAACATATTTAATGATTAATAAAGCAAGCATTTTTCATCTGTTGGCTTTGCCTTATTCCTGAACTATTCTGCTTGGAGCTGGCAAGTTGCGTTGTACGTGCAGGAGTGTGAAATGCTTTCTGGGGGGAGTGCCACGCAGTGGAAGTCTCAGAGGCCAGTTCATCCTCCTGTTCCTGAACTGGAGATCAATGAACTTCAGCCCTACTTGGGCAGAATCTGCTGCCCATCTATGTGCTTGCAGAATGTGTGTGGAGGAGCTGCTGCCATCTCAGCAGAAAATAAACAAGGTTGGGTTCCTCCACGGTTATGCAAGTGATGGATGTCACTTTTTTTTTTTAATTAATATTATTAGGGTAATAGTTTATCCAAGCACCATGTGAGGCTGTAGATATGAAGTGTAGTCCTGTCCTCATACCACTACCATCTTGCCATCTGCAAAAGCAAATCAAACCCTCCCATGAGCCCTAGCTTTAGGATTCTCCTGTTAGTCAGTGAGATTTAGAGATCAGCTGAAAACTGAAGACTTGATCTCAAAAGGAAAAGATCCTTTGTGAGTACCTCATGAGGCAGCCAAATTCCACATAACCTCCACGGGTGCCTACTGGGCCCCCCATAATGTGTGATTGTGCATGTTGAGGGCTTTGAGCTGTGATCTAGGGTGAGAACACCTGCCTCTGACTGGGGCAGATGGATGGTAACACCAGTGCCCAGCCTGGGACAAGAAGAGGAACAAAATTGTTGCAGAGATTTACAGGAAAGATGATGCTAAAACTCAGTTACAAATGCTCTTCAAGTAAAAGTCTTCACTTTCTGCCTAGTGTCTGCATGGGTTTTGGGAGGCCTTCAGCATGGCTACTGCTCCTGCAGCTGCTGTGGCTGCTGCGTGCTCCAGAGCGCTCCCTGGACAGCTGTAAACAAACCCTGTGAGCTTCTGCATCGGGCAGCTGGTGAGAGAAGGGCTGAGCAAACTTGGATCTGAACGTCAGGGGACACCAATAGGCTGCAGGTGAATCCCAAGGAGAAAGGGGGCCAAACACTTTATTTCAGGACAGAGCAGGAATTAGATGGGAATTCCGTGGCTCCCCGTGGGGCAAGATAAAAAGAGATGGATGCTGCTGAAGTGAAAGGAACGACAACCTTACCTGTAACAGGTGCTGCTTGCATTATGAGATGTGTAATGAAGCCCTCTTCAGTTTCTTTGTGTCCTGTAGCCCATAACATTGTCTCCCTGGATCCTAACAAGTTCTGAGTACGCCTGTGCTTTGTTGGACAGGAAATGGCATTTGCCTGACTGGGAGCAGGCACATGCTGCTGCCAGCTGCTTACCTGTCCCCAAATTAGAAGCTTTGTAAGCTTCATAAGAAAACGCGGAACCTGGCGTTTCTTTTATCTGTGGCTTTGGAACAGGATGTATTAACTCCAACCTTGTGCCTTACTAGTGCTTTGAGCACCAATTAATCACAAAGGGAAGCAGCAACATGCCTTCCCGGGTAAGATCATAGAGTTGCTTACATTGGAAAAGACCTCTTAAGATCATAAAGTCCAACCTCAAACCTAAGACTGCCAAGTCCAGCCCTAAACCGTGGCACTAAGCACCACACCTCTGTTTCTAACTCCTTCCAGGGATGGTGAGTCCAGCACTTCCCTGGCCAGCCTTCACAATCCTTTTGGTGAATAAATGTTTCTTAGTATCCAACCTAAACCTTCGCTGGTGCAGCTTGAGGCTGTTTCCTCTTGTCTTATCACTTGTCACATGGGAGAAGAGACTGACCCCCGCCCCGTTACAGCCTCCTTTCAGGTAGTTGAAGTGGTAAGGTCTCTGCTGAGCCTGCTTTTCTTCAGATCCCTCAGCCATTCCTCATTAGACTTGCTCTCTAGACCCTCCACCAGCTTCACTGCCAGTGACAGTGCATTTTACCCCTCATCAACAGGACCCTTATCTGCAGTTATCTGCTTTGGTGATAACGATGCATCTGGGTGTGAGGATCCCACTGGGCTCAGCCGGTTTCAGGGGGAATCCATAACAATCCATAGCCATGGGCTAGCCTGAACAACATGTTTGGGTGTAAGAGCAATAGGAAAATATGACTATGTCCATCATCTTACCCCCTGTATGTGCCACTGTCTGCTACAGTAGATTTTGCAGTGCTTAAACCACTGATTAGAGGGGCCCCAGCAATTCCTAAACCTGGCAAAATGAGATGAGATACATAGATAAAGAACACAATGAAGGGCTTGGTGACAACAATCACATGGCCCATAAATGACTCCCTGCATGGTGAGAATTAATGCATGACTTTGTTAACTACAGTCCTGAGATGGGCTGGGAGGATACGTTAGCTGAAAAGCAATACCTAAAAATCTGAGACTACACAATAAGGCCACTGAAACAGAGAATAGAAACTTGGTTAAAGGGGAATAAATTATAAAAACCCCTAGCAGAACCCCAAGAGTGGTGAAATGATTTATGGAGAAAGGCATTATCCCTGGGCATTCCCAGAGCTGCAATTCAGGGTCAGCCTACTGGCATTACCTTGAGTCTGATTGGAGTATTTCAGAAACGGGATAACCCTGAACAGAAAGA